CTGGAGCGTTTCTAGAGAAAAAAAATAAATCAGTGAAACAACATTAGAGATCAGAAGCAAACTTTAAAGAGCCATATTTACAAAGTGAGGTCAAAATCAGGCTCTGCCTCTGATCTGGTGCTGTTTCATGGGCAGCCACAGGAGGAGGAGGCTCAGCCTTGCAGCCTGGAGTGGGGTGGCCGTGAGCCTAAGGGGCAGGGTTTTTCTCCTCAATATGTTGCTGCCTGGACCCAGCATTTTCTCCATGTCTACAAATGGTGGTTACAAGTTCTGTGCTTTGTTTCTTGGAGCTTATTAGGTCTTGAAACTTAACATAATAAAAGCATCTTTACCCAGAGACTAAGGGGGTTTGGCTAACTACTGAGGCTTCCTGTCTGCCCCAGATGGCACAAGTGTGCAGGCATTGGCTGTCTGTCCTCTCTGCTTAGACTTAGCAGGGATAAAATATCTGCTCTTCTGGCTTCTACTCCCAACCTATCTGTATGATCCTGGGCAAATTATACCACCTTTCGGAGCATCAAACAGAAAAGGCCAATCTGAAGAACTTTCCAGGTCTCTTCTGTGATTTCGCCCCCCGCCCCCCCCCAGTTTCTCTTTAAAACAGCTGTCCCCAAGGGTGCTGTGTCTGTATCCTTCTTTTTCCTGAAAGTATTTACCCATCTTTTGCAGGTCGTTTTTTTCTCTCCTATGAGTCACATTAGCCTGGATATTAAGAGGCACGTTACTAACCACCTTCTTTCCCTTCTAGGCTTAGCTCAGACAGACAAGGTCTCATTTCTCAGTGCAGATGCCCTTTAGGGTGGCCCGAGGGCTCTAGGAGAGGTAAGGAGAATCCTGCCAGCCCGGCCAGCTTGCTTGTTCTTCCTTGCTGATCTCGATGTGATTTATTCACACACAACAGTCTATAAATATTAATCCTTAAAGATACAGGTGCAACTTCACAGCCCTTCATGTAGGGGAACCCAAAAGTCTCTCTAAAGAACCCAGAACCTGTATCCCTGGGCAAAATACTATCAAATAATAGGTAAGAAGAAGTGTCTTAGGAATTTGAAAAATGATGTGACATTTGTGAGGAACATGATGCGGTAGAGAGCACGTGGCCAGCTCTTACTTGCGGAGCCCTGGCCAGGTGCCAGAGCCTCTGCTACGGGCTTCGGGGGGGGGTATCTCAGTGAACCCCGGCAACCTTGCTAGGTAAATGGCACCATTCTCTTTTGTGCAAAGATTTAGCACCTTGTCCAAGGTAACCTGGTCTGCAGTTGGAGGAGGCAGCGTCTGTAGTGCAAGCCTGTGTGTGTCTAAAGCGCCCGTGATTACCGGGTCCTGCAGTAACTGCCACAGGCAGGACACTTCTCTGTCCTCTCCTGTTTGTTTATAGTACCTGTTGTTGCTACGGTACTGACTGGCTGGGAGCGCCTTCCATTGCGTATTCCATAGAGTTCGATTTCGTATTCCGTGGCCTCTCTGAGATTTGTTATGTCCCTGGTACGCTCAGGGGAAGGGAGGATTATTTCTTGCGGTTCAAACTGCTTTTTGGTATCTCTGATTTTGAGGACAAAATTGTCGAACATTCCTTCATCAGCTGTCCAGGACAGACGGAAACTGTCTGGGGTAGCGTCTGAAACCAGAAGGTTGTCAACTTCCGGTTCAGCTTCTAGAGGGAGAGAAAATGGTAGAAGAGGGAAAGAGAACGTCATTGAGCAGCCTGTGAAGTCTCCTTTCCAATTTTCAGTGATGCCCCAGGTTTCGCAGACGGAAGTGTCCTAAGATACAGAAATAAAATCATTCAGCGTTAACAAGTAGGGCTGGGGGAGGGGAGGGGTGCAGTTGGTACGTTCAGTACAAGCCAAAAATTCTGCTTGTATCTGTGAGTTTTGTCTAAAAGCAATTCTATAAATCCACATCTGGAATGAACATTGGCCCCTCCCATGCATTATTAAAGCAGCTCAAAGCCAGGAACCTGTTTACATTAGCTCTCTGTCTTCCAGTGGCTTAGTGCCCATCTGCTGCAAGACCTTTTCCTTTTCTTTTTGTAAAGACAAATAAACCAGCAGTAATGATGTATAGAATGCCTGTGATGACTCCACCAATTATCCTTCCCTGGAGCCCCAGCAAAATGGCTTTTAAAATATTATGGTCTTTCTGCTTTGTTCTTGGAGCTGATTCACTGAAGAAGGCTCCTACTCTGGATTTCCTTTCTCATGTACCTTTCTTTTTATGCCATTTTAACCAATATATAAGGGTTCAGGTGGTGTAAGCGAGGCTTGGATCCTCTTGAGTTGCATACTCTGGGTCCAGGGGTTCATCTTGCATTGCCTTAATTAGACAAAACTCAAGGTGAACGTAATTTGGAGCTGAGTTTCCCAAAGTGTGCTCAAAGCAAAGGAAGATCTCTTCCTTAAAAGCTATTCATTGTCAAATAAGTTTGTGAAATAATGCCCTCTCGGAAATACACAATGCACAAGAAGATGTCAAAGATCCTGTTTAACTTGAGATTTCAAACTTATTTGAATGAGGAACTTCTTCACCAAGTGGGATCTTTGATAAATGTTACTGATCTTCAGAAAGCCTTTGGGAAACACAGATTTTAGGCTATTAAAGTGGTTAATGTTGTATTATTAGTTTTCAGAAAATGATGGATTTAGTCTGTGTTGTAGATTCTCTCTGCTATTTCTGTTTGCCAGTTCAAAAAGTACCAATAGCAAGGCTACTGGGTAAGTTTGTTATGATCACACTTAAGACTGAGATGGTAAAAGATTTAGATAGATTTTCAAAATATACTCATTGGTATATTTCTTCTGAGAAGGCTGAAACAGCTAGGATCAGCTAGGATGAATGCAAGGGAAGGCGGCGTACACAGGCGCCACGGACAAGATGTGGGCACAGGAGCCACGGACAAGATGTGGGCACAGGAACCATGGACAAGACATGGGCCAAACAGTGTGGGGCACCAAGTGGGAACATTTCGACCTTCTCATTTCTGGGGGTGGGAGTGGGAAGTGATTGTTAGATACAATAAGACAAGGGGACTATGGGGAGAACATGAAAGAGCAGGTCACATCCATGGAGAAAGCAGGGAAGATGGACAAAAATGTTAAAATCATGAAGATCCTGGAGACAGACCAAATGGAAGGGGACCGGAGAAGTGAGAATGGCTCATTTGAATGGAAGTACCTGTGATGACCTCAGCCCTCAAGGGCCTGCTTTGGCGCCCCTGGGTGAGGCCAGAGACCATAACCTCATAGCCGATGCCGGTTATGAGCCCTCTAAGTTCCAGCTTCCTCTGGGTTCCTGAAAGTGTGAATGCCTGGGGATCCAACAGCTTCCCAGAATCCACCACTGCTACTAGAAAGCTGTCAAAGGCATTCTCCGATGCCATCCAGGAAACTGTGAACCCGTAGGGATTAATGTCGGAAATGGTTAGGTTTTCCAGAAGGGGCAAGGCCTCTGAAAGAAGGGAAGGTGAGAATAACTCAGGTTAGCAGCACTGGCTTTAACGTTTCCAAGATTTATTGGATTCCCAATGAGTCACTGCATGTGTTTAATGCCCAGAGAATGAAACTTATTTAGTAAGAGTTTATTAGATGCCAGATACTATATCTAGCATACTTCTCTTAGCAACACTATGCAATAGATGTTATTACCATTTTACAGATGGGAAAATTGAGTTTCAAAAACGTTGCTGACTTGGCCAAAGTCCCAGGCTAGTGTTTGATGGATCAAAGTGCTTAGCTGAGTCTGATTGCAGAATCCACATATCTCTCTCTATACAAAAAGGATGCTTTGTGTTGGGTTTGGATACCTCTATCTACTTCTGGTTTTGAAAAAAATTGTCTTTGCATTTTTGCAAGGATACTGTCCTTTGGTCATGCTTTGTATCTCACCTCTCCTTCACATTCTGAACCAATTCCCTCAGGCCAATTAGTAACACATCCTCACTAGCAAAGGCCAGAGGAGACAGTAAGATTTTTTTTTTCTTAAACTTTTCAAAATTAACAATTTATGTTTAGGGCCCAATAAAGAACTTTAAGATTTGCTCATTTGTTGCAGATTATTTTCCTGGATAATGTTAGAAAGCAAGGACGTCTGCCATCACCATTTATGCACTCATTCATCACACATGTCTGTGTCTCAAGCACAGACTTCATAGGGGCCCTTCTACACATGAGGAGCCCCAAAAGGAACATGCTTGTGTCAGCTCCATTTTCATCAATACTGCTCAACTGGGGAGGCCTCAGAGTCACAGTCCTATGCAACAGTCATGACAATGCTACAAGGTAGACATTGCCACCCACCTGGTCCCTGACCTCTATAATCCAACTTCTCAAAGATCACACATCTACCAGCTGGCTGAGGGTATTTTTGACTCTGAGTTAGATACTCTTTCCATATCCTGAATCAATGTTTAATTAGTAAATCCCCTCAGTGCCCAAGCCCAGAGACGTAGGCAGCATTAGTGGAGAGGGCCCAGCACCTCCTCTGTAGTGAAACAGCACTCAAGGTGCTCACTGTGTTTATTTTTTATTGGAGAGGGAAGGCTGCTTCAGTGGCATCTAGTTTAGAGCTTTTTTTTTGTTTTGGTGCTGTGGAAACTTTCGAAGACTAAATGACTTTGCACTAATGCCCGTGGACTAATTCATGGGATGTAACAACAAAAAAGATTCAAAAGGAAGAGTTTGGTGATTGGATGAATAAATGAATAAGGAGACAAATGCCCTCATTCCCTAACCAGAAACTTGAGTTTTGCTGTGGCGTGGACTTCCTGCAGTTATTTTGAAGCACTTGGTGTTTATTTTCAGGCATTTTTTTTCATGTAAAAATTCCCAAGTATCACGACTCTATCAAAGACAAAAGTGAAATCAAATATACTGTGTCAAAGTCTTGTTGGTGTGTCAGAAAAGGGTCTCAAGTTCTGTTGCGTGATTTTTTTTTAGGTAGGCGGGTCTCTCTTTGATAACTGGCCTCTGCATCTCCATGCCACCAAAGCAGCCAATTCCAACAAAAAATGAGGGCTCTCAGGCTCATCTGTCAAGCATTTGTTTTTGCAAGTTCCGCCTGTTCATTTTGTTTTTTCAATAAAATGCTTTCAAAGCACAGGCTTTTCACACCCCGGATTAGCCGAGACAATACGGTAACTGGATCTAGGATTCCTGAGACCTCAGCTTCCCCTTCTTCTGTCTGTTCTGTGGGAGGTCCTGCAGGAAGCGACAAGTAAGGGCCTGACGAGGCTGTGGCTAGGCCTCTCCTTGGAGGCATTGAAGCATTCACCCCATAGCTGCTCCTCCCAGCATGTTTAAGAAATTATAATGACGGCTGATTAAATGCTTCCACTCCCACTAGGTAACTGGGCAGGAAAAAACAATAAGTGCTTTTGAATCTCTTGTTAAGATATAGCCCATGATCTCTTACAAATAATAAGGACATTGTGGTTGCATTGCCCTGTTTTTTTGCATCTAAGCTTGTTACTTGTTTGTTTGCAGAACTGGAGATAGAAGCGAAGGCCTTTTGCACGTGAGGCAGGTGTTCCGTGGCAGAACAACACTTAGCTTGTTGGCTACATTTACCAGTGCCACTTTCTTCATATTACTGGCAGGCACCAGAAAGGCTGGAGCATCTATAAAATAGTCACCGGGTGCCAGGCAGGTATATTTCATCAGATTGGCTTGAGCTCTGCGACGAGGTGCCAGAGACACTTGGGAGTGTCCATGTTCCATTCACAAGGGAAGTGGCGATCCAAAAAGGGAGGAACTTGCCAAGAAGATGTGGAGAGGCTCACTCTCAACAATCCTCGCTCTTCCAGATACCGCGCTGCTCCCACATAAATATTTAATCACACTTATTGATATATCTGATAGCAATTGAGACCCTGGAAAAGTCTTATTTAATGGGGAAGTCAGATGGCCAAGTCTGTCTCTTGAAAGTTACCAGTAGTGGAGGACAAGAGACTTCAAAATAGTTTTGAAAGGTTTTTCAAAATGCAGATTTTAGAAAATTGACATCATTTCCCTGTCTTCATGATAGACTTAGAAGAGGCAACCATTTCATTACATAATTCAAGGAGAAGTTAGAAGTCAAGTTCCGTGATTGAATAAGATTTAATTGATCTTAGAATTTATAGGCCATCCTAGGTTGAACTTTTACCAATCTCTATCTTTTATACTTTAAAATTGAAGAATATTTTTTAAAGAAAAATGTTATTATATTTCTGGGGTAGGAAGCTTATGAACTACTCTTACTTGGTATGATTTATGGACAAAATACTTGGCCTGGGCCTCTACTAACTTAGAATTCACTCGTTAGCCTGAATCTGCAAGTTGAGCATAAGGTAGTTTATAAAACCTGGCCCAAAAAACAAAAACCAAAGCAAAAACCACAAACAAACAAAAAACTCCCTGAAAGCTTTATGCACCTGTTGGAAACACTGTATCTACTTTTTAAATTGGCTGTGAGGAGTAGCCGCTCTGTTCCTCAGAAGCTCACCTTGCTGGGGTATGGATATTATGAATGTTACACAGCCCCCTAAATGTCCATCAATGGATGAACAATAAGAAATGTCAGTAAATGTGCACTGTGGGATGCCAGATGGCCTTAGGAGAGAGCCACCCTGTCATCTGTGAATGAAACTGGAGCACATTATGCCACATTGCCCAACGTAAACTGGGCGAAGGAAGAAAAGCACTGCATGATCTTATACGGGGAATCTAAGAAGATAAACTTATGTACCTAGAGTATACCTATATTTCAGTGTCACTCTGTACCTCATAAATACAGACAATTGCATTGTTTAGCTAAAGATAAAAGTAGAGAAGTTTGCTTTTGGAGTGAAGACTATACACTGGCTCAAATTTTCCTGCACATTGTCTGGCTCCTTCCCCCCTTCCCTGGCCCAGGATTCTGAACAATGAGAACCTTAGAATACCTGTAGTGACAAAGGCAGTGAGGGGCCTTCTGGGCTCCCCGGCCCAGGTGGTCCCTGCCACACTGACGTCGTAGCCAGTGTTGTCCAGCAGGCCTGTGATGTGAGCTTGCTGTGCGTCTCCTGGGACTGAGAGCCGCTGGGATTCCCGCAGCAGCGAGCGAGTGTCGCTCACATTGATAACAATGTTTTCATAGAGCCCAGCTCCAGGGGTCCACGACAAGGTGAAGCTGTCAGGAGTAACATTGCTAATGATTAGCGGGCCCAGCTCTGGCTCTGATTCTGGGTGGGGGGAGGGACACGGACAGAGAGAAAGAGAGAGACGTTATTAGACGAAGCAGATTTGTCCAGAATGTGCCCATAGAATAGAATACATTATTTCCAAATAGCTGTGGAGAAGATAAGACATCAGGTCATGTCAGTACCAGCATTGATCATAACAGAATATGTTACTTTTTATGCAAGTAGGGGTTGGTGTGTTTTTAAGGAATGGGCAGGACCATATCCTAATGAAGAAAAATGAACACACCATTAGAGTAATAGGTAGGATTCCATTTTCTGAAGTTTGTAAGGGAGAAATAGCCCTGTGAGATGTCCCGGGAAAAGACAGTTTCCTCACCATAGAGACTCTCAGAGCATGTTTACTGTTAAAGGCTCTCATGAACTTCTTCTGTGGAAAAATCTATTTAATTTTGTTTAGCCCAACATTTCATGAATTTACTGATCAATGACACTCTGTCCCAGAATATCCTTTGAACATGTCCAGGAACTAGCATTCCACTGAACATGCTTTAGAAAATATCCTTTAGCTTTTTCTTACTTTTTAAAAATCTGTTTGGATTTTGTACAAATTAAAGACTGTATCCACATATGAGAAATTCTCCAATGGCCTTTAGAAATATACAATAGAAAATTGTACATCCCACCCTAAATACTAAAAAGATGAAAATGGCTTCTATTTAAAAAGTTTTGGTGGATGCGGAAGCCAGAGGTGTTTTTAGTTAGGAAATTTACTTATTAATTGATTTGGAAAGATGGAGGAAAAGTTTTTCTTGCTCCTTAGAGTCTGGACAACTCATTTAGGGGGCCTTATGCTTTCTTCAACTGGGGTGTGTATGAAGCTGGTCTTCTCAGGGCTCATTCATTTATTGTTAATACTAAAAAAGTTCAACCCAGACTATATGTTAGAGAGATGCAACAGTCTTGGAGGACTGAGGAATTTGAAACTGAAGTTAGTGTTGCCAAGAGGCAGGCTATTTTTCTCTACAACTTGGGAGTGGCTTTACTTCCGCTATAGTATTTGGAAGAAAGAAGAGTCCCATCTGGACAAATTTTAACTGCACATTTGCACAGTATATCTTGATGTTCTAAAGTCTCTGAGGTTAAATAAGACTTAGGTCAGAGATAGAATATAGCTATCCTTGGCGGCATAAGCGCCTGCTTGGCAAGTGCAAGGGCCCAGGTTTGATCCCCGATGTTGCATGCTATGCTAACCTAGAATCCTGAGCGCACTGTTCCACCCTGAAACTGGGCATGGTGGCACATGCCTGTATTCCCAGTGCTCGGGAGACTGAGACAGGAACATCATTCTGAGTCCAAGCTGCAAGATACAAGTTTCATGACCCTGTATCTAAAAAGAAAAATAAATACAGAATATAGCTACATATAATTACTTGGAATTTTAGGCTTACTAATTAGTTGGCAAAGCTAATGATGCTGTAGCTTTAGCTACAGTGTGAGTAAATTTCTTTAGCCACAAAAATGATAAAATCTTCCCAGTGGAATTCTGCTTTTTCTCTATATTTTGTTAAAGAAACAACTTCCCACGTGCCACGCTTATGCTGTCAAGTATAGCTACATTCTATCTCTGACCTAAGTCTTATTTAACCTCAAAGACTTTAGAACATCAAGTTATACTGTGCAAATGTGCAGTATTTAATGTTAATACAAAGGATATGTGCTGGTATTCTTTTTATGCTATTAGATAAAATTCGGCCTTGGGAAAACATTCACTACGCGGGGCGAGACATAGGTGTTTGGGATCAGTTTTACATTTAACTCCTAGAGGATAAAACTAAACTGAAATGTGCACTACAAGGAAAAAACTCAGAGAGTGGATGCTAGCTAGCATGTGTTCAATGTTTCATGCAAGAAGGGATAGTTTTCTCCCATCACTTCTAACCCTTCTAACCCAGAGAAACAATCCGTTGACATGCTGTCTGCTTTCTGGCGAGATAGACATGTTAACACTTTAGTGTTCTGAATATTTATCACATGCACCAAGATCTGTACGAGATGATGAACGGGAAGAAGGTTCTGACACTTTGGAACAGACATCAGCAGATAGCAACACATGCTTGGCATGAGAAGTGTCAAAAGAAAGCAGTCTGTTGGTAAGGAATCCAGACCATGCACCTCTCAAGAACAAGACGGCAGTACTGAGTTCTCTCATGCAGTTCTTAGACTGCGATCTAGCATCGCTTTTAAGCATGCTGGGAGCAGCATTATTTAAAGGCTTGTTACACCAAAAGACACATTAGATTGTTTTGACCAAGGAATCAAAAATGACATGCACATACTTCTATGCATAAGACACAGGCAAACTTGGATGAGAAAGACACAGGCGGAAGATCGCAGAAGGCATTGAAGAGTATTATTCAACTAGAAGAAGGGATGGCTTAGAAATTCAACCAGAGAAAGCTGTGCTCATTCTGTTCAAACAAACAGAGCAGCTCCAGATGGGAGTGGATTTAGGAAAAGGAAATTGGACAGTGAAGTTCTTTAATTGGGGGCCAAGGTTATTTTAAAGTTTTCAATCTCTGAGCTGGTTGGTTCTGTCAAAGTTGGGAAGCACCTGGTGAGAGGAGGGAGGACAAGCTGGGAGCTGAAGTTTTGGAGAGAAGAGCTAGAGTGGGAAGTCCCCGTGACCGCTTGGGCATGAGCACAGACAGCATAGCTAGGAGACTCTTGTGCTCTATGATGACAGAGCTGGGGGAAATGCCAGGCAGGGAGCAGGCCACCCTCTTCTGGGGACAGTAAAAAACTGCTAACTTCTGCAAGAAAGCTATCAAAGGCAACCTCCCAAGCTTCCCAGGAGAAGGCCAGGCTTCCCGGGTCACATTAGAGACCATGAGGTGGCTGAGGAGAGGTTTGGTTACTGGAACAAGAAGAAAAAATTATTAGTTTAAACCACTATAAAAAAAAAAACACCTAAGACTAAATCCATAACATTTTCAATTGTAACTTCTGGTGAAAGGAAATTTTTCTTTTTTTTTTTTTTTTTTTTTTTTGTATTTTAAGGTAGGGTCTACAGGGTGTTCAGGATCTCATTACTAGATTGGACTAGTAGTGATCTGCCTGTTTATAGCCTCCCAAGAGCTGGGATTGCAGGTGGGTGTCAACACACCCAGTCTCAGCACATCCTGAGGGTGGGGCCGGCCTGGCAGGCCTGGGAATTGAAACCCTGGCCCCTGCCCTTGCTTGAAGGTGCTTTAATCTGCTCAGCTATTTGGCCATCCCTAAATCGTTCTTTCTTGAAAACTAATCTGAGCCAAATGATACGGTTGCCTATTTTTCTCCTTTAGCTTTTGTTGTACTTTAGCCAACAGAGCTGGGAACTAAATAATGCTGGCCCTGTACCTTTGCCAGGGACCACGCTGTCACCCTGTGTAGTCTCATGTAGAATAGACACACTCCCTCAGCCACAGGCAACCTACATGACATAATTTTGATGCAAAGTTGTCAGTTCTTTCCTTGGGTTCCCCAGCACATGGGGCCCCTTTAGTGAGCCACAGGAAAAAGTTGTCCTGTGTTTGTTCCAGATATCTTTGTTTTTAGTGTGTGATCTTTGAGTTTACTTGCTAAGAAAGGGCATTGTCGAGAATGTGCTAACAATGCTGCTTCAAATGGATACGGTTTCTTTTCTGCATTTGCACTGTTCTCTTTTACTACATGACAGATTCTGTCTGTTAATATTATAATATATTAGTGTATGATAGAGAGCACATGTATGAGTGTGTGTTGTGTACCTGTGCGATATCACATACACATACACACCCAGCAACAGAGATCATAAACACAGAATGGGACCCTTTCCTACATAAGCTCCTTGTTCAATCATGATCACTTCTATTTTTATTTTTGCCTGGAGCCATTCATAGCTCTGCAGATAGCACAGCAGAGTGAGTTCTTTTCTCCCAGGAGAGCTGAAGTTGGGGTTGTCTGGAGGGCATGGCCACCTCCTGCACTTATCTGTTCTTTCTCCTCATTTTTCCATTTGCAACCAAACCCAACACTCCACATGCGATTTTCCTAAATGAGTGAGATATTCAACTCTGAACAAATTCAAGGCTCTACAAAGACCAAGATACTAGGATAACACAAAATGGAACTTTTAAAACCTCTTTGACTGATATAGATGTCTCTCCAAGCAGAGGACAAGTGTGATCATAGCTTTTAAGTTACCAAAGGGGAAAACACTTCTCTCCAGATTCAACATGGTAATGTGAAACTACGTTGGATACTGCAAATGCTCTGCTCCGTGATAAACCAGGCGGACAACTGTCTGAACGTGCGTGACTGGGACTGCTGCTGGGAGAGAGCTGAGTTAAACTGTGCTCCGGTCCAGCACTGCGGAAGAGGTAGTGGAGTGCGGCTTGCACTGGGAGGGCAAAGAGGAGCATTGCTGTCCCCTGCGGACAGACCTGTGGAGAGAGGCTCTGGAAAGGGGAGGAGGCACATGTACCTGTGGTGGCTGTGGCACTGACGGTTTTGGTGCGGAGGCTAGGAGCAAGTCCAGAGAGGTAGATAATGAAGTCAGTACTAGGGGGGAGCCCTGAGATGTGGGCAGTTCGTTCAGCACCGGATATATTATATTCCACCATCTGCAGCAACCTATTGGAATCAATAATTTCAATGGTAAAGGTCTCGAAGATCCCATCCGTAGCTGTCCAAGAGAGATTGAAGCTCTCGGGAGTTATGTCAGAAATATTTAAGTCTCCAATTTCAGGTTCTTTGGCTGCAAAAAAGAAGCAGGGAGGTAGGGGTGGGAGAAAAGAAAGAAATACATTTGAGTTATTCACTTGGTTGTTTCAAGATTGGAGTTAGTCAAGCCATTGCTGGGAAGAAAGACCTGATGGGTTAGGGTTATTGTGACATGAAGCCGTTCTACTGGTCAGAGCTGATGAGAAAGGGAAAGGGCTTTGTTAGGAGACACATGTAGGAAAGAAAGCACTATGGCTAGATTTCCCCACTCTGCACTTGCCACTCACATTCAAGCCCTGGCCGGGTTCTCCGAGAGAGAAGATCGGCTGGCTGATGCCAGGTGCCAAGGGGAGCTGGCAGCCACACCTGTCCCCAGGAGCCCGGCCTCTGGGTGTCTGGCCATGGTCAGTGGCACAGTGCTGGCAGTGCTCAACCTGTTGAGCAGCACTCAGGAGCCCAGGGTTCCTTGGACACCCGCCTCTGACGTCTTTCGCTTGGCGAGCCCTCCCCTCTGTTCCAGTGAGGACTGAGTCACTCTGACCCTACTGGCCTCCAAGGTACGACTTCGAGGCATCTGATAATTTGGCTTGAGGGGCTTCATACATTTTCTCAGTGTCATTTTTGTGTGTTTTCATACTTGAGATAAGGGCCAGGCAGCTGTTCTCATACTCTGTCTTGAGTATGAGAAAAAGCATGTCTCCTTGTAATTGGATCTATGTGGGCCCAGGAGGCTAGTCCAGAACTGCCAATCGAGAGAGTGGAGCCAGCAAGGCAATTCTAGCAACCTGGGAGCCAAGAAATAGTATTCTGTGCTGGAGATGGTCCTGCTAGTGCTTCTGTGTGCAACAGGAATGTGAGCTACGGAAGGCAGGCAGGGCAGGGCTACAAAAGCGCATGCTGTTTCTTTAGCAAAGTGGACTGCTCCTGGTCTCTGAGGTCGGCTGTCTCAACCTGTTTGTTGAGACGCTGATCAGACACTGACCAGTTCATCTGAGGCAAGACATTGCAGCCATTAAAAAAGAAAGGCACATAGACAGACAAAAATATGAATGGCATCCAAACCACCAGGTCTGCAGGAAACATCAGCAGTGGGTGATTTCTCTGCCTTCTGGGAAGAAAGGGTTTGTGGGTGTCAGATAAAAAGAGTCCTGGGGCAAATCAGGGCAGCCTCAACTGCAATTTCTGGGACTCTTAGGGTCATTGAGCACACACTTGGCTTTCCTGCATTTTGTGACATCTCAGTGAGGGTCAGTGAAATGACCTAGGCTGAATTGCAGAGCTACGTTTTTGAATCAACACGGATGGAGGTGGCATTGACAAGGGAGTTTGGTTCCAATAATTATGTAAAAAGGGGAGAGGCAGCCAGATGCAGTGGAAAGTCACCCAGCAAGGTGATAAAGAGGGGCAGAGGACAAGAGTGCCAGAGGGAGGCCACACACTTGATAAGGCTCAGGCTCCAGGGGGAATCCCGGGCCTTGGAGCCAGGGAAAGCTGTGAATAAACCCTACTGTGGCCCCCTGGGTGTGGGCTTGGGAGTTTGCCACTGTCAGTCCAATAGTCCAGGAAGAAAAATCCTGATTCAAAGAGCAAAAACGCTATCGGTTCTTTTCACATTCATCGTCTGGGACATTCCTTGTTTCAAATGCTGCTGAGTGTATTTCTGCTAATGAATGGTTTTCTCTTTGGTACAGTTTCCACTTATAATTGTGCCATTTTTCCCCCCTTTTTGGTCTAGCAATTTGCTAATTTGATGTTCTAACAATGACTCAGTATCTGAGAGAATTGCCCGGAGGAGGGTAATTCAGTTCTTATTCTATTCAGTGCATTGTAAAGAAATATTTTGTAAATGCAAGAACCACAGGCTCCATAGCCTTGAGGGATTTAGAAACAGTAAAACACCATTTCCAAGTGGACTAAGATTTTCTAAAGTAAATAAACTGTGCTCTATAAGAACTTATACATGGGGGGGGGGCTTCTAATTAGATGGCAGCACTTGGGAGAAAAGAAGTGAAAACCATCAGGTTGATTCCAGAAGCACAGAGTCCTCATGAGAAGGAGATGCTAGCTAGGTGAGCTTGGCTGCTGGAGGCTGGGGGCCTGGAGGGCTGAAAGGGCATTGCCATGTCAAGGGCTTTGGATGAGGGCACAGTCTGCAGGGAAGTCTAAGCATGCATGGCCAGTGGCTGAAGGAGCATGGAAAAGAAGCAGCAGTGGAGAGAAGCTGGCCACTCATTTCGTCTCTTAGAAAGGAAGTGGGGAATTTTGGGGAGAAAACATGGAGAGTGGAGGAAAAGGTACCTGTGGAGGCCTCAGCAGAGAGCACCGGTGTTCTATAGCCCCGGATCACCCCATAGATGGAGACCCTGTAAGGGGTACCAGCCTTGAGACCTGGAAGGTCCACAGCCCGCAGGCTGCCAGGCACTGTGAGGTTCTGAGTGGCCTCCACCTTGTTGGCCTCCTGAACCTGTATGACAAAGTGCTCATATGCTTGGTCAGCTGCAGTCCAGTTGAGTTTGAGGCCGTCCCAGCCAAGCTCAGTCACGGCTAAGTCTCCCAGCTGGGGGAGTTCCTCTGAAGAATGACAGAGAGGTATTGGTCAGTGCTGAAAATTAAACAAGAAGTCCCACAGCCCCTATCTAGGAAAAAGAGGGAGGAGAGAAGGAAGGAGAGAGAGAGAGACAGAGAGAGAGAGAGAGAGAGAGAGAGAGAGAGAGAGAGAGAGAGGAAGATTTGCTTTATGGTAATTCTTATTCATTGGGCACATGCAGCTTGAACTTGGTACTCTAAAGCTTTGTTTAGAAGTTGAAAATGGTCAAAGATGGACACATCTGTATTCATCTCTGAGATAGCACACCCCACCACTGTGCAATCCACCCAGAAGTCCCTGGACATGCAATAGCTACAGGGCACAGGGACGGGGGGCAGTGGGGGTCTGGGTCAGGGGAGTGGGCAGACTGAGAATACAGACTGTGGAGGTAGACAGGCCTTGGTTAGAATTCCGACAGTAACATTTGCTGACTGTGCTGTCTTGGATATGCCACCTGCTTCTCTCTGAGCTTCACTCTCTTTATGTTTAAATGGAGCTGAGAGGACCATCTGATTGGATTGTGTGATGATTAAATGAAGACATTTATCCCTTCTTTGTAGTCTACTGGATGACAAAGAACATCATTTCAAGGTATCTACCTTGGAGCTTCTCTGGTCATGTGGGAGACTTTCTCTTGTTTCATTTCATTGCTTGAAATTAGGAATCAACTCATTGCTGGCTACATTCTGTCTGTTTGGGTTTTACAAAGCATACTCTTTCTCAAGTTTGGATAAGTGTGTTTTACCTCTAGACTTTTCTTGGCTTTCAGGGATCAGAGGTCATGCACTAGATTGTTGGAGTGGTTGTCCCCTCCCACCTGTTTCTGCCAGCATGCCGAGTGAAGAAAAGCTGTGGCAATCAACACCTTCCATGGGAGACGAACATGCCTACTGTTAACTAAAAGGGGCGATGTCTTTCTCAGTAAATTGTGCAGAGCACAGTCCACTATTAATTTCTTTTTACAATGTAACAAGGAAATTTACTGTAGTTATTATTGCTTATTAAGAAAGCTGGAAATGAGAGCACGGAAAACTCCACTGCTTTATGAGATGCTGCTAAAGGTCATACACAGGCAATCTCGTCACCTCCCTTAAGGCAGAAGTGGCTGCAGATTTGAAGTTAAAGAGGAAAATGACTTTAGGGGTCTCATAAAAAGAAAGTGGGGGAGAGAGAAAGAGAGAGAGAGAGAGAGAGAGACAGAGAGACAGAGAGACAGAGAGACACAGAGAGGGAGGGAAGGAGGGAGAGAGACAGAGAGAGAGACAGCGAGACAGAGAGAAGCAGAGAGACAGAGAGGAAGGAAAGGAAGGAGAGAGACAGAGAGGGAGACAGACAGAGAGAGATAGAGAGAGTGAGAGAGAGACAGAGAGAGAGAGATACTGAGACAGACACACAGAGGGAGAGAGAGACAGAGAGAGACAGAGAGGACAAGGCGACAATGTTCTCAGGTGTCGCAAGACTCAGTGAAATGTAAGTCTGAGCAAGTTCTGCCTTTTAGGGCGCTGTGTTCAAGATGTGTTCCACACACACCTGGCGCCTTCTGGAAGGATTGTTTTGGGGACAGCTATGTAGGCTTGCCCCTTCTTCTTTCCTAGCTGACTAAGAATAGCTATTTATCTGTTACAGACGTGTTCCTCAGAAGATTTCATTTGCTAAAGAAGTTTTCTGCTTAAAAACAGAATTTTGCAGAACTAAAACTGTGCATCACAGGGCCGGGGAGATGGCTCAGTAGAATATGCACTTCTCTGGTAAGCTCAAGGGCCTGAGTTCAATCCCCAGTTCCGGGAAACAAACAAACAAAGAAACAAACAAACAAACAAAACGGGCATCACTATTGTCCTGTACGCAGATCACACATGTCTCAGAGGGTCACCCTACTCTTGTCTGCTTTGAGGCTAGCCCAAGACACACAGGGCAATGGCAACCCAATAGCCTCACGTATGCCTGTATGACTGCAGGCCTCCTTAGAGAGAGTCATTTATAGAAGCCACACCGAGAGCATACAGCTGTCCACGCTAGGTGAAGCAGCGCATCTTCAGGGGGAAAACTGAGATGAATCGCTGTTTTTATTTTTCTCTACATGTTGAGCGAAGCGCACTGAACTCAAACGTGCTGTCCTTTCCTGGAAATGTTCTTGCTTTCGGAAATTGGTAAGAGACAGATGTGAACATTTCAGCGAACAAAACAAAACAAAGCAAAACTGTATCACTCCCAGTGGTTATTCCGTAGAGACCACACCAGGAGTTGGGTGTGAGTTAGTGACTCTGAGATCAGGAATCATACAGTTCCTCTAGAAAGTTCTGCCTGCATCCTTGTGCCGTGGTCCTTCTGCATGTGCTCTTTTCCATTATGACTGTGGTTATATAATGCATTTCCCTGTTTGCTGTTCGGTACTGACTACACGATGCATAGGATACTCTGCTAGGTACTTTTATTCATGAACTCACTTACTGCTTAGGACAGTATTCTGAAGTGAGGATATTATCTCTGATTTGAAAATGAGAAAAGAAGGCCCAGAGATATAAAGTGACATATTCAAGAATATTCAGCCAGTAAGGTGGAATTCTAGCCGAGGCCATCCTGAGTTACAGACTCATCTATCCGTCAGCCACATTAAGGCTGTGTGCTGTCACATGGGGCCTTTCTGATCTAGGGACAGCCTGGCTCCTATCACATCTCTGGTCTAGAAGGAGGGTCGTATACCTGTGAAGAACTCTGCAGCAAGGGGTCGAGTGTGGCGGCCTCTGACCTCGCCGCGCAGGGTGATCCTATAAGCAGCGCCAGCCGTGAGGTTTGCGATCTGCACAGAGCGCCGGCTGCCAGGAACGGTGAGGTTGTGAGCCCCTTCCACCCGGTCAGCCTCTTGGACCTCAATGACAAACTGGTCATAGGTGTCATCTGGTGTGGTCCAGTCCAATGTGAGGGTGTCCCAGCTAACTGTGGTCAATGTGAGGTTTCCCAGACTGGGAAGCCCCTCTGCATAAGGACACAGAGTCACGGAGTTACTAAAAAAGGCAATGCATGCTGGGATGCAGGTGAGATGGCATTTTGGCTAAGGTTGGGCTGGGTGGTCTGGTTAGTGTCGATTCCAGATGTGTGATTCACAGCCGTGCAGAACACACACTCACTGTTGGCACTGAAGCCAGGGCTTTTTCTATTCAGCCTTTGGGAATGAAAGAGGGCTTAAGTAATTGTTCACAACTTCCACTCCTGACGTACAAACAGGACTTCAGGGAGTCCTTTAGAGTTCTTAAAATGAGCTTGGAGCTATTGTTTTAGTAACAAGTTATGCTTTCCAACTTCTTAGGTATTATGACTAGAACTTTCTTTGCAAGAAAAGTCACCTCTCACTTTTGTCAAGGAAAAGAAGGTGGAATTTTCCATGGAACTGCCAACTGGACCATGGCTAGAACTTGGCCAAATAAGGGATGTGACATTTAGGAAGAAGCAAGGATGAATCACTGGTATTTCCCCCAATATGGTAGGGTGCTAAACCATTGATTCCTCCTGAACAGAGACAAGACAGACAGAGCATAGCAGTGAAATAATCTAGAGTACCTGTCCAGACTTCAACAAAGTGAGGGGCAGTGGTGAAGTCCTGAGTGACCCCGCGGATGGTGACTCTATACTGAGTGGCTGCTCTGAGCCCTGGCAGGTCCACGGACCTCAGTCCTCCTGGGACTGTGAGGTTCTGGACAGTTGTTACTGTACCAGCTTCCTGCACCTGAATGTGGAAGTGCTCATAGGCCCCTTCTGGAGCAGTCCAGTTGAGTTTGAGGGCATCCCAGCCCACCTCGGCCACTGTGATCTCTCCCAAATTGGGAGTCTCCCCTGGAGAAGGACAAAAAACTAGTTTACATCACATATCAAGATCCATGAAATCTTGAACACAAGGTTTGATACCACTTAAAAGTGTGACTCTCTTTAGAAAAATGTGTATCAAGCAACTTTCTAATTTTAGAACTAGCACAGAGGGTGAGGTCTGGGAAACCCTTGTTCTTTTATCTTGTGAGAGAATGGCCTTAAATATCAGTAGATGAAGGGGTGCATTTAGTAACTTTTTTTTTTCTCTTTTAGTATGGTGTTTAAACATTTCTTAACAGGAGGGAGCTTGTTTCTGAGAGTAATGTTTGCTCTCAGGCTGAGTAGATTGTTCCTCAGAATGGCCTCTGTACTGCTCTAGGAAGTGTTCTCAGGGAGTGAGATGTCACAGCAGCTGTAGAACTGGGTAACCTGATAATCTGGCTATCCATTATCAGATGTCATGGTGCTATTACTTGTGGAAGAACAAGTCCCTTTGTTACAGTTTGGATTAAGAATTTCTCCTGAAAGACTCATGGGTGCAGATGTGGAGCTTTTGGAAGCTGGTTAGATCATGGGGCGGGGGTGTGCCTAGACTCAAGACTAATCTATCAGTGAATTCTGGGGCCTGACATGAGACAGTTACTGGGATTGTGACCCAGAAGGTTACATCCTGTCCCAAACCCAGTCCTCTTTCTCTGGCTCCTCCTTGCGCTGTATCGTGCTGGCCATAAGCCCTACAGTTTTCCCCCGCCTCACCCTTCTGTCATGGTACTCCTGCCTTGGAGCCTGCTCATCTTGTACTGAGACTGGGAACCAAAGTAAACGACCCTCTTTCATGGTGTGTGTGTGTGTGTGTGTGTGTGTGTGAGGGAAGTCGTCCCAGCAGTAAAAAGCTGACTAATGAATGCTTCCAAAGCTAGGTGTGTCTGATGGTCCTTGGGCAGTTTCCTGTTGGGAAAAACAGAAGTTTTAAGTAGAAAAGTAAGAAGTACCTGTGGAGGCCTCAGCAGTGAGCACCGGTGTTCTAGAGCCCCGGATCACCCCATAGATGGAGACCCTGTAAGGGGTACCAGCCTTGAGACCCGGAAGGTCCACAGCCCGCAGGCTGCCAGGCACTGTGAGGTTCTGAGCGGCCTCCACCTTGTTGGCCTCCTGAACCTGTATGACAAAGTGCTCATATGCTTGGTCAGCTGCAGTCCAGTTGAGTTTGAGGCCATCCCAGCCAAGCTCAGTCACGGTGAGATTCTCCAGTTCAGGGACATGTTCTGAATAATGACAAAACTGGGATCAGTAAAACTACCACTCAAAAATGCTTTCATTCTGAGAACCCATAGATGGAAACCTGGCTGCCAACAAAAAAAGTTATTCGGAGCCCAAGTGGAATGCTTTGTCCACTGTTTTCCCTAAAGGTGCTGCTTCCTTTAAAACACCACCAGAAAAACATCCATGTAATAACTTGGGTTTTGAGTTTGTCTTTTGGTATTATGTTTTTGTATTGATCAGTGGCCTGTAGGTATAGAAAATTTCATACATCTGTGCTGGTGATGCTCCAGTGGGTTCACTTTCTTACTTTTGAAGGCATCTCTCATCCTATGGACATAGTATTCTGCTAATCTTGGGGTCTGGGTCCAGCCTTTTGTGTTCTGAGACAGTCAGCAACATTTAGATTTTTTTTATTTCTTTTTCTTTTTTGGTGGAACAGGGGATTGAACTCAGGCCCTTGCGCTTGCCAGGCAAGTGCTTATTTCACTGAGCCATCTCCCTGGGCCCAATTTTCTGTATTTCTATGGAGCTCCAGTCTCCTCTAGAAAGTCCATTATAGCTCATGGTGGGATTGCATCATTCTTTGGGGTATGGATACTTCTGCATCGAGCACTGCAGTAAAGATCGGAAGTGAATTAACAAGTACTAGTAAGGCTACATGGAAAAGGGGATGAGCCTTTCAAAACACATGCTTTCCTGCGAAGCAAGACCAAGGCTCTGGGAGAAAGAGTTCAGGGGCATAAGCGCCTTTCTGGTAAACACAAGGTCCCAAGTTCGATCCCTAGTGCGAAAAATAAATAAAGAGAGAGAGAGAGAGAGAGAGAGAGAGAGAGAGAGAGAGAGAGCCTACTACACTCAGCAAAAATTGAATGCTCCATCTTTATGCAATACTGGAGCATAGAACATCTATCAGAAAATCACTTTATATGCATTTGTTTTAGGGGGGATCATTCGCCCAGGGCTGAGTTTCAGTGGACTTCGTACAGCCTAGGAAGAAGGAAACTCTGGAAATGGATCCTATAAAGAGGATAGTAGGAACTGCCTTTACTCATTTAAAGGAAACTTACAGCTCAAAATGAGGGTTTCAAATGAGCCTTATATGCCCATAAAAACAACATTTAAACTTGAAAACATCTTGCAATGTGAAAATATCCTTTCATGCAGAAATAAATCATTTTCTAGAATATATTCAATCCATTAATGTATTTAATCTTTCTCCAATTCTGGGGGGACATTCTTTTTATTTTGTTGAATATCAACAAAGCTTAAATCATTCCACTTGGTTTTTTCCTTTCTTCTTTAAAACCCATTTTGCTTTAGGACATAGGCACAGAAACTGTAACTTGAGGCATTTGGCTCTCTGCCTAGTTTGGTAATTAGTAAACTGACATCGGTTTTTGCATTTTTAAGTTGTTGGTTTTGAAATAAAAGCCCACAGAAGAATGTTATTTCGTGATTCATGAAAATCAAATGAAATGCAAATTTCAGTGTCATAAACTGTTACTAGAGCAGGGCCACACTTGCAGCTGGTGGCTGCCTTTGTGATACAGGTTTCTGTATGCAGTTGAGTCTCTGTGACAGAAACTGCTTGGCCAGCAAAGTCTGAGATATTTACCCTCTGGCTCTGAACAGAGAATGCTTGTGATACCCACTCTGAAGCTGCCATGTGTGGATTCTGCCTTGCACTGAATGCATGTGCTGGAGCTCACGCCCAAGCCCTGCAGCAGTTTGTAACCACTTACACAAGCTCTCTGGGAGAAAGAGGGGACCTCCAACTCAAAGCGATGTACCTGATTAGGGGCAAGGAAGGAAAGTCAGGTATAAGGTACCTTAAGTCCATGGCCAAAGCCAGGAAGAGTGCATCCAGACACGATAATTCTATCCTTGACCTTGGGATTTAAGTACAACTAAACTCAGGAGTCCATGTTTCTCAAATGTTATAGCATTCCTCATACATAAAGATGTAGGGGGAGAAAATCTAAGTGATAAATAAAGCAAAAGTAAGACAGATAAAATAAAGTCACAATTTCTATACCCCTCCTTAGCTCAAATTTTTATTTTTCCTGCTTTGTAAAATCACTGGTGAGAATTTTTTTTTTTTTTTTGTATTTTTACTACAAGGTCTACAGGGTCTCACTACACAGATTGGATTTGTAATTATTCTCCTGTTTTCAGCCTCCCAAGTGCTGGGATTACAGGTGTGTGGCACCACATCCAATCCTGGGGTGGGGCCAGCACAGCAAGCCAGGGATCCAACCCTAGTCACTATGACTGCCTAAGAAGCCATTTTAGTTTGCTGAGCTATCTGGCTGACCCTATTGGTGAGAAATTTGACAGTAACAATTGACACCTTCATGTGAAGTAAGGCACTGTCTCATTTTTCCAGGTAACTGCATGTTAAGCCTTATCTCTAATTATGACCATGAAAGAAATTTGAGAACCAGGTTACAAGTAATTTGGGGTGAGTTCCCTAAGTAGAGGAGCGGGGAGACACTGCCTATAGGTCACAGGTTAAGCCATTACACTAAAGACTTAGAGAAAGACAGAAGAACCATGTTGGAAAACACCTCCTCTTGATGAGAATCATCTCATCTCTTTGAATCAGCTCTCACATCCATCACCAGTGCTTTTATACAATGACCCTCAAATCTTGCTTCATCTGTTCATATAGCTGAGAGAGTCCTTTTCTTATAATACCATGTGGGTCAGTCAATAGTAATAGTCATAGTGGTGATCTTCCATCAGGATTGTTGATTCTTCCTTCAAGTTTCTTATGGGTAAATCAAGAATGAGCACTGTTTCTTAGGTGAGAGGCTGCTGTAGCCTTGTGTCCAGTGGATGGTGTCCATGGATGTCCTCTGAAGCCCCTCCAGTAAACCAGTGCTCACCAGGAGGGGAGAGGAATGAGAATTATGAAAGGGAAAAAGGAGGGTTGTAAAGAATAAAAAACTAGGAGGCAGGAGTGGAGGTGTGGCTTAAGAAGTTGCACATAAGTGCTGACTCTTTCCATGGCAGTGACTCCCCATGGGCTCACTGCCCCAGAAGCCGAAGTTTCCATGATGTACTTGCACACTGACCTTCCTGGCATTTCTTTATGAAAAGGCCATTGTCGTTTCCTTACAGCTGTGCATCAGAATCTACCCTCTGAACAATGTCAGTGGGCCTGGGTAATCAGAATTTTGAAACCCCAACTCTGTGCTCATGGTGGGTTGAGCAGATGGCCTGGAGGAATTTCTGGCACTGTCAACTTCAGATCTTTATAGATTCCCACCGTCTTGTGGATGGCCATAACTACCAAGTGCCAGCTCAACCACTCTTAGTGCTCAAATGACACTTATGCAGGAGAGTGTCTCCCACTGTGGGACGATGGTCAAATCCAAACCTGGGGGTGTGGGTGGGAGGCTAAAGGACAGATTAAATGGCTCCAGTCTCACCTATCCAAGATAACATAATTGACATGGATGGTTTTGTCTGTGTTAATACTCCTTGATGACTTTTTATAACTAGAGTTAAAGAAGAATTTTCATTTCACAAGAATGAAATCTCTCAAAGCATCTTAGGTATGTGTATGAAGTTGTCACAAAAAAACTCAATATTTTAAAAAATTAACATGGGCTAACATACATATGTTTGGTGGTTAAAGAAAAATTGAGAAAGCTGAGTGCCTGATTATGTCATCCATGGCCCTCTGCAGAAGTCCCAGATGATGGCTATAGCCTGCTCCCTGCTCTCCTATAGAGCAAGATGGTACAGCTTGTGCTTGATGAGTACAGAGTTTCTCCTCAAATGCTGGTTTTCCTTTTGGAAATGTCACTGCTCCTTCTACACTTGGCTGCCTGCTTTCCCATCGTCAGGTACTATGTCTTCCACAATTTCTCTGAACTCTTCTATCTTTTGTGGCTTTCACATATCCTTGGTCTAAAACAGATAAGTTCCATTCTTATAGTTTGGTTGTTGATTCGCTATCTTTCTCATTGTTTCTCTAGACATATACTACCATTGCCTGGTCCAGAGTAGCTATGAAATATTTGTTGGAAGAATAAATATCAGAACACATTTTAGTTTGCTGCATGATAGAATCTAAATAGCAAATCAGAGCAGAATGTTCTCTAGAACCTGCAGCTGTGGTTAAATTCCCCTTTCTGCATTCAAACTTTATGTGAATTACTGGAGTGTCACTGTGGGATGTTAGGTTGCTATGGAAAGAGACTACATTGTCCTTGTGTTTCTACCTATTGTCTCTTCTTCATGCCCTGTATTGCTCCGAGCAGTTTAATGGCCTTGATCTTCAGCAGAGTTTATTTGGGTTTATCAGAATACAGATGAAGGAAGGGGTTGGGGAAGACAGGAAGAGAGAGGAAGAGGGACAGTGACAGGGACAGGGAGAGGCTGAGAAATAGTTGGCACACATTGATTTTCTTAATGCTAACAAAGAGAATATCTTTCTTCTTTCCTTCCTTCCTCTTTTGTTGTTTTTTGTTTCTCTCTCTCTCTCTCTCTCTCTCTCTCTCTCTCTCTCTCTCTCTTACTTCTTCATTTTTTTCTATCTAGATTTAGCTGAAAGATTTTCCAAGTGGATGATTTCCCTTCTCCTTCATCTGTAAGAGAGATAACTGTGAATGTAGAGTTGGAAAATAGGTCCAGAAAATTTAATACAAACGATTTCTTAAGTAACCAGGTCTCTAAACATTCATGAAGTACATGCCACACTAAGCTATGTTCAAGGCACTTGGGGCACAGTGGTCAATGAAGGATACAGTCATTTATTCTGACAGTCATAGGAGATAAACTACAGATAACAGGCCAACTTCTGTCTACTGTCATGGCCAATGAGTGTCCTTAGGCACTGTAGGACAGCACGGTGGTGGTGGGGGACATCAAGACGGGAGTGGCAGAAATACCATCTGTTTTGCATGACACTTGTGCTGAAAATGGGCAAGACCGTGAGTGGTGGCAGCAAGGTCAGAGAGCGCCATGCCACCCTTGGGAGGGTCTTTGTGCCTATTCCAGGCATGATGGATAGCCAGGCTATCCCTGTTTTTAACACAGTGCCACATAGTGCAAAAGGTTTGTGCTATGACTCTAAAATTTCCTAGGGAAAGTGCTTGTGGGCCACTAATTTCCTACCCTCTTCATAAAATCAACAAGGAGACTGCCAGTGACCAAGAACGGTGGAACAGAGAGAAGAGTCTCGATCACTGGCAGTTTGAAAACTACTGTGCTATCCCTGAACCCCCCAGCTCCAAGTTCTTTTAATGAGAAGAAAAAAAGACTATGATTTTAATTAAGTGACTGCTACTTGAGCGTTCTGCTATCTTTGGCTGAATATATTTCAAATGACAAAGATACTCTAAGGCCTTTTCCCACATTTCTACTGTAATCCTTCTACTGGTTATTAAGACATAGTAGGGCCATGTGTTCATCAGGACACTTCCATCTCTATCATGACAACTGCTTTTCCTGGATCTCTCAATGGGTAAGCTTAGTGGTTAAGCTCAATGGTCAACCCAACTGACATGGGACCATGGGAGCAGTGTAACAGATTAGTAAAACACACTTCAGGGAGTGTCCAGATAGATGCCTGAGAAGTGGCCTAGAGTCTTTCTGTGACCCCTCCCTCTACCTCTCCAGTGCTGTATTCCTGTTCTGCTTCCCTGCCACCATGAACTAAGCATCTCTGTTGTATCACCACAATGTGCCTGCCTTGGAGGAGACAACCAAGGATGGAATCTCCTGAAACCATGAACCAAAGAAACCATTTCCTCCTTTGCGTTATAGGTTTCAGGTATTTGGCTGCAGAAGGGACGTGGGGATGGGGGAAGAATCTAATACATCGCCTTCGCTTGATTGAATCTGCCTCATACTCTGAGCGTCCAGTCCTCCCAGGTCTGCGAGCAAGGCCACATGGTCGGCATAGCAGTGGTGTCTGGGTGACCCCCTTCCCCTCAAATGTCAGAACAATGCAGTGTGTGCAGGAGGATGCTTACTAATTAAATTAAAAGCTAAGAAAATGACTCTTTACATCCTGAACAAATACCACTTCACACCTTTATGTTCAATAGAGAGTGGTCAAAATCAAATAAGTTATTTTTCCCACTGGAGAAATGATTCATTCTCCTGATTGTCTCCTCATCTTAGCCACTGGGGAAGCGCGGCTGTGGCTCACTGAGCAGGGTGAATGGGCGATAAGTGACCCTAGAGGTCAGGATTCAGCAGGCATCTTGGCCAACCTCTTCATGACGAAAGGAAAAGAGAAAATGCAGTGACAGCAGGAAGGCAATGACCTTGTCTTATTCTTCAGGAGCCGCCTGAGAGGAAGTCAAAAGGCCTGAAATAAAAATATTTCTTGGAAAATAACCAAATCACTATTACCACCATTGAGGTCATCTTTAAAAAAATGCAAAGTAAATTAATTACTAGCTTAAAGAAGGAAAAAAGCACTTTACAATATTCTGTGAAACCAAGAATTGATAGAAAACAACACAATAAACACCAACCTAGAAGCTGCACATTCTCCTGGAAAGAAACACTTTAGAATCTCTGTTGCCTGGCTAGGGGACTTAGTTGGCTCAGTTGAACAACAGGATGAGGGGACACTAGGAAGGGCAGTGAGCAGCCCCACAAAGTCGATGTTGAGGCTTGGTGGGTAGCAGCAGCAGCAGCAGCACAGTTAGCCATCTGGATTTGTCATATGAGGACAACCTTGCCGAAGGGGACCGCAGCCCTCAGAGTGAGCTCAGGGCTTAGAGATGTGTGTGGTGACTCACCAGTGGTCGCCTTCACGCGGGCTGGCTTGCTTTTGTGCCTGCCCTTCTCCGCCGTGAGCAGAATGGTATATTCCTGGCCGGGCTCCAGGCCTCGCAGCACGTGTGAGGTGGTATCTCTGGGCAGCTGCTCCTCCACCGATTGGCCTGTGGGGAGGCTGTAGTTGAGGCGGTAGCGGTCAAACTTGGCCAGCGGCATCTTCCACAGCAGGGTCAGGCTGTTCTCTGTGGTTTCAGAAGCCTGGAGATCCTTGGGAGCATCAATTTCTAGGAGGAAAACAAAGACAGTCCTTAGGAGACAGGGAGCAACTGTTTCAGGGGCGGAAGTCACCTGCCTGGGCTGGAGCCTTGGGTCTGCCTCAGGAGTTGCATGCCTGAGGACAGTCACCTTATGGAGTCTCAGTTTCTACTTTAATAAAGCAGGCCTACTTATACATCACTTTGTTGGGTGTTTGGAAGATCAAAAATAACTTAGAGGTATGCCTGTATGCTGAAGTGCTACTTTAAAGTATTAAAAAGGATTGGAAAAGAAATTAAGCTGTATCATGTACATGTACCAATTCCTCATAAGGAAGGTTAACATTATGTACTACAAACATGTACTAATGAAAATAAAAGAGTTTGGAGCACTGATTGAAAAGCAGTCTTGGTGAATTTCAGAAGAATTATACTGAAGGAAAAAAACCAAGCCAGTTTCAAAAGGCTACACAATGTTGAGACAGACTATACGTGTGGGGATAGTAAAAAGTTCATGTGCTAAAGCCTAAATCCTGATGTGATGGTCCTGGGAAGGGGGGACCTTTGGGGGTTTCGTCAATGGGATTAGTGGCCTTATTGCAGGGAATGTGGAGATCCCTCACCCTGTCTGCCCTCTGAGGACACAGCAAAGAGACAGACACTTATGTGAACCAGAAAGAGGGCCCTTGCTAGACTGGATTTGTTGGAACTTGCTACTGTACTTTTCAGCCTCCAGACTGAGAAATAAGTTGCTTCTCTTTCTAAGCTAGCCCATCTGAGATGTTTTTGTTATGGTGGCCCAAGTGGCCTAACACTCCTTGGATTCCATTTATGTCACATTGGTCAAATGGCAGAACTGAAGAACCGATTGCTACACACTCAGTGTCAGGCAGAAGGGGAGGAGATGTAGGAGTTGTGGCTACAAAAGGTGTTAGCGCATGGGGTTCTGGGGTAAAATAAACTGCATCTCTACCTTACAGGTGGGTCTTCAAATCTACTCCTGAGGGGCCAGGGAGGTGGCTCAGTAGAATAAGCGCTTCCCTGGCAAGCGCAAGGGCCTGAGTTCAATCCCTGGTTCCGAAAAAAAAAAAAAAAAAACCCACAACAAAAAAACAACAACAACAACAAAAAATACCTATAATGAAGTCACCTAGAAATAAACACACACATGTGCGCAACACTGCAGAGACCTGAATAAAGTGGAGAGATTACATCAATATTAATTTCCCCGTTCTGATAATAGTCTATGCACATGCAAGCTGTTACCTTGCTCTCACTGGGTGATGGCCATGGGGATCTTTCAGGATTTCTCAGAACTGCACGTGAATTTAAAATAACATATTGTGTGTTGAATGTGTATATCTTATTTTGGAAGATTAAAAGTTCTATATATATCACATTATATGTAGTTATTATAATAAATATTTCAAGGGATCATAAAAATGAGCCCCACCTGGACCCTCCATCCAGATTTATTCAGGTCTGGTATGTATTAAAAACTACCTTGCTGGAATTCAAGTGAGATGGTATCCTGGATCTGGGTTGGTCCCTCTCTGGAGAAATGCATATCTGTGCACACACATACACATATGTACACATGTATGTAGATAAAGGCCCAGGGTTGGATCCCGAATGCTGTGGGAGTTTGTGAAGTGTGACCTCATGCCCTTCATAGCCAACCTCCCTTTCCTCCTAATACCTGGAGGAGGCAAGTTGGAAACTGGTAGGAAAGCAGAGGGAGCAGTTGTCTTCTCTATACATGCATTTCCCATAAAGCAAAACCAAAAACATTAAGGAAGGAATCAGTGGCCTTAAATCCTGTATCCCACTAGGGCTCCCCTGAGGCTGAAACTACAGGATGCAATAGATTAAAGCAGCACCTGGGAGCCAGGCATGGTGGCACATGCCCACAACCCCAGGATTTAGGGGTTAAGGAAGGAGGACTGCTGTGAGTTCAAGGCCAGCCTGGGCTATCTGGTGAGAACCTATCTCAAAAGACCAACAACAAAAACTGAGAAAAGAGGGACCTGAGTTTAACTGTCATCTTTCTGTTCTGCACTTTTCTTGGTGCATGTGTTTTCTAAAGTGTTAAGAAACCCCTTGATGTATTTTAATTAGAAAACAGCTTATTAAAAGCCAGAATTGGCAGCCAATTTAAATACACAGATTTCTTAGAAAATATAGCTCTGATTTTTCTTTCTAAGTCCCCCCTTCCCCTTCCTATAGAGAAAACATTATTGACCTCATTGTTCACCTGGGCACACTAGGATGGGGATGGTGGTGTTGGTGAGAATTGATGTTCCATGGTTCTAAGAACTGAACCCAGTGCCTTTGACCAAAGCTATATACTCAGCCCTTCTTATTTTTTTTTAAAGTGTCGAGATATGGTCTTGCTACGTTACTAAATTGCCCAGCTAGGTTTGATGTTGCAGTTGTCCTACTTTACCCTGCCAGGTACCTGGGGTCATAGATGTGTGCCGCTATGCTTGTCTGCGTGATTCTCAAGTGGAGGCTCTGTGCTAGATGACCTTGGAGGCCTCCGTCTCCTCCAGGCTTCTCGTGTTCTCCTTAGGAGGTTTCTGCCCCATCAGCCTCCTGTTGCCTGCTCAGTGGCAGCTTTGGCTGGTGTGCTCACCTGTGGCAGCATTAATGGTCGCTGGATCACTCTCCCTGTCCTCCTTCACAGCAGAGACTCCAATCCCATACTCAGTTCCCGGCCTGAGACCTACGAGAGAAGACACAGACTCTGACCTGGTCCCAGGACACTCTGGTTTCTCAGTTTCTGAGACTTCACCTATTGAAGCACTAGTGGGTAGGAAGTGTTAGGAACTGGAAGTGTTTCTTTCTTTCGAAGTTTGTGAAATAAAGGAGATGTGGGAGCGGGTGCCTGCCCTTTGCGGGCTCCTGGGCCGCTCCACTGGGGACACAGGACACCCACCTGTGAGTGTGGTTTTGGTAGTGGTCTGCTGACTCTTTGGAACATCGACCTCGGCATGGTCGCCTCCAGAGATGGGTGCATACTTGATTCTGTAGCTGTCGATGACTGCCTTGACGTTCCTCCATTCCAAGGTGATGCTGCTATCTGTCTGGGAGATGCGTCGCAGATTCCTTGGCGCATCCAGGCCTGTTGAGGAGGAGAGGGAACCTTTGCACTGAAAATTCCAGGCACCAGGAGAAGGGGTCTTGGTCAGCTCATGCTGAAGTACGGAAGGCACCGGCCACTGGAAAGAAATGACAAATCCTCCCCACCGTGACACGTCCCTGTCTCCTTGGTTAATACATGAATCTAAACAAATTCTGCAAGTTTGACCTCTTTTCCTGTTATTGGTATTGTGGCATTTTATTCCTCAGTGTTTTTCTCAGATTTTGGGTTTAAGAAACAAAAAACAAAAAACAAAAAACAAAAAACAAAAAACAAAAAAAAAAAAAAAGAAAAAGAAAAATATCATGAATGTTGGATCTGGTCCGTAGTGTTTCACCATTATAATTCTAGTAACTCATACTGTGCTTACTGAACTCTCAAAAAATGTTAATTGAATAAACAGTTGAGATGTTGGTACTTTAAAAATAATATCATAGGCTAGGAGTTCAGGGGCTTCTTTATCACTGATGTTTCCTATATGCTGTGTTTTATTTTAAACATATTTATGTAAATTCTGTGCATTTTAAGTAGAACTTTTCTCTAAGAATATCAGACCAACATCTTCTCTGTATAAAATAACAGCAGAAAAATACTATGGAACATTATTTGCATTTTTCCTTTTGAAATATTAACTGCTACGGTATTTAAAAAAAAAAAAAGCAAAGGAATGGGAAGCCCTTCTCTGCTTTCCTTATGGTGAAATGAGTCTGGAAGACATCCCCACATGGAACGGGATCGAAATCCTGCCATGTAGGCTAGGGTGCTAGGATGCTAGCGGGCGCCTGTCCGCTCAGTGCTCTGGGAATCCAAAACACAAGGATCACAGGGTTGAGCCCAGCTAAGTCCCTGGCGAGCTTAGGGACTCAAGCGAGTCCTTGTTTCAAAAACCAAGAGAGGGCTGAGGACATAAATCTGCAAAAATGCTAAGTTCGATGCTTGCCACTGAGGAAAAGGAAAAGGAAAAAAAAAGAAGAAGAAAAAAAAAAAAAAAGGAAAAGGAAAGAGACCCTGTCACTGTCCCGTCTCGGTCCTGCTATCAGGGGAGGCCTGGTACCTGTTGCAAAGGTCTCTTTGGCCGGGTTGCTGGACATGTCACCTCTGCGGGAGATGAGGGACACCTCATACTGAGTGTCAGGCTTCAGGTTGCCAATGGAGTACTGGTTCTCGTCGTGCGTGAGATCGATGGTGGTGCGATCGCCTGGTACATCTTTGATGCCATAGGAGAGCTCGATGCCGTCGATCTCGGCCAGGGGTTTGAACCAGGTGACGAGAGCTGTGCTGTCTGTGACATCTTTCACCTCAATCTGGCTGGGCGCATCCAAGCCTGTCACAGGCAGAAGACAGGGCAACTTCAGAGATCACGGCCAGGACCAGGTCCAGGCTGAGGGGGGCTTTGGCATGAGGCAGACCCCTGGGCGAATATTCAGATCCCTACTCACTACCTGCCTTGATTTTACTTTTCAGAGTCTGTTCCTTGTTTGAAAAATGTAAGTGGAGATTACGATATCTACCTCCTCTAGGAGTTTTGTTTTTTTTT